TTGTTGCCCCGCCAGCCGCCGTAGATAAATTGCCGGCAGGTTCGGTTTGCCGGGCTGTAGTACCAGCGCAGGAAGGAGGCGCGGCACGGGCCGGTGACTCGGGGGACGGCGCAGTGTTCTGGGGACACGTGGGGGTGGGATTAGGGGGGTACTGAGGAAATCGGGGCGGGGAAAGGGATTTGGCAGCGCCGAGCCGGGAGGTTTTACCGTCGTAGGTGGAGTCGGTCTGCTGGGCGCGATGCTCGTGTTTCTTTGAAGCTGGGGAAAAACGATAAAAAAAAATAAAATTAGCTAATTGGTGGGTTATTTGAGGGGGGTTTGATACCAAAACAAGAAGAAAAATCCCAAATAACACGATTTGGTGGATTGTTTTCAGGTGTCTGACACTAAAACACTAAAAACCCCAAATAACACAGTTTGGTGGGTAATTTTGGGACATCTGACACCAAAACAATAAAAAACCCCCACCCAAATAATGCAATTTGGTGGGTTATTTTCAGGTTTTTGACACCAAAACAGTAAGAAAAACTCAAAATGACACGATTTGACACCAAAACAATTTAAAAAAAACCCCAAATAACCCAATTTGGTGGATTGTTTTCAGGTGTCTGACACTAAAACAATAAAACCCCCAAATAACAGAATTTGGTGGGTGATTTTGGGGTGTCTGACACCAAAACAATAGAAAAACCCCACCCAAATAAATTGGTGGGTTATTTTCAGGTTTTTGACACCAAAACAATAAAAAAAACTCAAAATGACCCGATTTGACACCAAAACAATTTAAAACCCGCCAAATAACCCAATTTAGTGGGTTATTTTAGGGTGTTTGATGCCAAAACAATAAAACCGCCAAAATGACCTAATCTGGTGGGTAATTTTGGGGTGTCTGACACTGAAACAATAAAAAAACCCGCAAAATGACCCGATTTGGTGGGTTATTTTGGGGTGTTTAGATGGCAAAACAATCAAAAACCCCCAAATGACCCAATTTGTTGGGTTAATTTGGTGTGCTCGACAACAAATCAATACTCCCCCCACAAATAACCCACCAAATTGGTTATTTCGGTTTATTTGACACCGAAACAATAAAATAAACCAAAAAGCCGGCCCCGTCGCGGTGAGCTCACCCGTTCCGAGGACGCAGCTCTCCTGACATTCCCGCTCCGTCGGGAAGTTGTTGGCGTTCCCCTCGCAGCCGCCGAAGACGAAGCTTTGGCACGAGCCGCCGGTGACGTTGAACCACCAGCGCAGCATCGAGGCCCGGCACGGTCCCACCGCCTTCGGCAGCGAGCAGAGCTCTGCTGGGAGGAAAAAAAAAAAGAATAAAAAGGCGTTGACACTGACAAGCAGACCCAAATTTCCCCAAATTTGGGGGGCAGGCACAACCCCCCCAGCTTAGGAAGGGATTTGCTGGCTAAAAAAAGGGATTTACTGGCTCAGCAGTCGGCTCTGTGCCGCTTCCCGGCACAAGGCAGAGTCTGGGAGGGG